GCATACCTGCAAAAGTAAACAAAATCAATGTGTAAATGACTATTATAGAAAACATCAACCTGGGTAACTTTGTTATGATTATAAAGTTAGATAAACACTCCTCAAAGGGATAAGAAAAGCAAAATTAGATTCAAATAGTTCAGTTAAAATTATGTTATTCATCTTGACTATAGTAATGCTCAATCTCGCAACTGGATCATTTTTACTTCTATATTTTCACATCTGGCTTATCTTACAAAATATCTGGTAAGGGCCCCACCCCAACTGAAAAGAACCCGTTGGAAGTTTTTTACTAATCCGTGGTACAAGCCCCTTTATATCAAATTATTAACATCCATCTAAAACTTTGTGAATAGCTTTATCTCAATGTAATCTACAAATTTTTTCTTTATGAAAATTCTTGACTATTTAATCGGGTACTAAAAACTCATAAACACTAATCTGCTTTCTACTTAAATCGTAAGATTATTTCATAACAAAATCAAGAATAAGTGTAGCCTACAAGATGTTAATAATTTGATAAAAAGGGATCTGTTCATTTGAGACTATTTGAGCCATTTGAGCGAGCATATCTCATAGAATTCATAAGCAGCAATATAATTTAAGTTAAATAACATCCACGGTTTTAACTGAAAAGGATTAGCAGGGAATCTGCTCAAGTTGTATATCACAATTTTAATAAACAGAGGTCATACTATGAACAGCTAGTCAATCCTCAGATATTGATGATATCCCATTTATAGTGTGATCATGAGATCTAGATTCACTCAACCAAGTGGAATGATACTTAATTTAATAATGCATTAAAAATGGTTATACTTCAACAGATTCCAGGTTATTTTAACTTAGACTTTGAGCATCTAATTACACTATGACTCACAAATTATAAAACGAATAACTTACGAATAGATTCAGGTTCTTCTTCCATTTCTTCTTTTATAGAAACACCACAGTCAGGCATACCTCAAAATTTAAACAAAAGAAATATATAAATAAATGTTATAGAAAACAACTTGGGTAACCTTTGCAAAATTGGAAAAGTTGATAAACAACCCAAGAAGGGATAATAAAAGAAAAATAATAAAATTGTGTTATTCCTCTAAAAAGGAGTAATGTTCAATCTTGCAAGATGGATCATCTTTACTTCGTTATTGTTTACAAAAATCTACAATTATTTGAACATCAGTAGTTTTAAAAGTAAAAAAGAATACTCACAAATAGATTTAATTTCTTCTTCCATTTCTTGTTTGATAGAAACACCACACTCCTCCACAACTGGAAAAAAACAATAGTAAATATATGATATATGAAACAACCTTAATCAAGTAATTCAGGAATATTTGTAACTTGCAACAGGAACCCTCTGCATCATTTATAAATACAAGATTCATCAGTCTTAACGAATCTATGAAAGTCAATAGGCATAGTTATTAAAATATGAAAGTAAACTAAAAATTAAATAAAATCATAATTTGTCTATTAGTGAATTAAGAGAGCGATAATTACAAAATGTTTATGCATCAGGTATCCAAAATATACGCCATACTAACCAATTTGATCCATCACTACTTCAGTAAGTTAACAGAAAATATTTAAAGATGTAAATAGAGATGTGACGGTATTGGTGGAGCAGTGACGTATAACAAAGTCTCGGTTTGCAACAGTGACTACCTGTTCCACTCACGTGGACCTAAGGTCAGTAAAACTAGTTTGTTTGACCTTGCTTGGACCTAGGGATGGGTCAATGGAACTGGATCGGGAACGGAAACTTAATCTCACTGAGGAACGGAACGGAGCTGTTCCAACGACTGAAAATTATTGATACCGCCGGTTCGATAAGGAACGGAGGAACGGTTGGCAATTTGTTCCAGACTTGTTCCAATTAGGGATGGGTCAGATTGTATGTATCAGATACTTTTATCTGATACTAAAAAAGTATCTGATACAACCAGTGGATACAACCAAAAAGTATCTGATGCTCACATGGATACAAAATGGTTGTCCAGACATGCCACATTGATATAAGAGAAATGTTTAGTTATATAATTTTAGTTGTGCACAATTTCTTTAGAACTATCTATTCATTTAGTTTAATTTAATTAAATATTTATTTGTAGATAAATATATTCACGCTTATTTTTTTTTTTTATGTAATGTTAATTTCGGATATTTTTATCTGATACTAGTATCAGATACTTTTATTTGATATTTGTATCAGATATTTTTATCTGATATTTTTTATCGGATATTTTTATCTGATATTTGTATCAGATATTTTTATCTGATACCCGCATCGGATACTTTTATCTGATACCCGCATCGGATACTTTTATCTGATACCTGGACTAGATACCCAGCGTTATGCATACTGGCGCTTGGGCTTATTAGTTAATATATAATAGTTCTAATGTCTGTATAGTTATGTCAGGTACTAAGAAAATATTTACAGAATTTTTTAAACAAAATATGCTTCATATTTGGCAAAAGGATGGAATATATTAAATAAAAATATAACAAATTCATGCAGAGAAAATATTTTTCTAATACAACGTTCTTAAGAATTTTGTAACAATTAAAAAAATTCTTTATAGCTAAGTTTAACCTACACACACCCCTCCCCCCCCACACACATATATATATATATATATATATATATATATATATATATATATATATATATATATATATATATATATATATTTTTTTTTTTTTTTTTTTCTGTTTGTATTACAGACCATGTAGATCTTTTGCCACCTTAACAAGTATGCTCAATCTCTGCCTGTCTTGGGCTATTTCTTTCCATTATCTGATATTTGTATCGGATATTTTTATCTGATACCCGCATCGGATACTTTTATGTGATATTTTTATCTGATACCTGGACTAGATACCCAGCGGTATGCATACTGGCGCTTGGACTTGATATCCCATTAATTGTTTCAGATATTTTAATCCAACTGTAATTGATTATTGATTGGGTTTGATATTTTTAATACCTATTTGATACCTAATAAAACATATATTAAATATGTACCTATATATATTTTATTCCTTTATTATTAAATTTGTCCCTGTAATAAATATTTTACACCATTTTTAAATATAATAGTTCTAATGACTTTATAGTTATGTCAGGTACTATGAAGATATTTACACAGACTTTTGACTATATAAAAACAAACATTTATTAGCTTTGTGGTAAACATATTTACATCAAAACAAATTATTTAACAACTTCAATAAAATAAGTAGCTAACAGGTAAATGTTAATGTAAATATTTTGTATACATATCTTATTAAATTAAGCATTGCATTGATACTAGTTACTGGACAATAAAATATGTATTAAATATGTGCCGATATATATTTTATTCCTTTAGTGCCATATTTGTCCCTGTAATAAATACTTTACAATCAATAAACTTATGAATTATATTAAAAAAAAACAAGCTTTTTTACTTTTTCTGAGGACAGCTGAGTCCTCCTTTCCTTTAAAATATTGCCGGTTTTACAAAAAACCCTTTCACATGACACTGATGTTACCACTGTGCAAAATTTTTGTTTAACAATTTTTGACAGAAATGGAAAATTATAATTGTAATTTTCCAATTACAGTTGGATTAAAATATCTGAAAAAATTATTGGGATATCAAGTCCAAGCGCCAGTATGCATAACACTGGGTATCTAGTCCAGGTATCAGATAAAAGTATCACATAAAAGTATCCGATGCGGGTATCAGATAAAAATATCCGATACAAATATCAGATAATGGAAAGAAATAGCCCAAGACAGGCAGAGATTGAGCATACTTGTTAAGGTGGCAAAAGATCTACATGGTCTGTAATACAAACAGAAAAAAAAAAAAAAAAATATATATATATATATATATATATATATATATATGTGTGTGTGTGGGGGGGGAGGGGGTGTGTGTGTATGTTAAACTTAGCTATAAAGAATTTTTTTAATTGTTACAAAATTCTTAAGAACGTTGTATTAGGAAAATATTTTCTCTGCATGAATTTGTTATATTTTTATTTAATATATTCCATCCTTTTGCCAAATATGAAGCATATTTTGTTTAAAAAATTCTGTAAATATTTTCTTAGTACCTGACATAACTTTACAGTCATTAGAACTATTATATATTAACTAATAAGCCCAAGCGCCAGTATGCATACCGCTGGGTATCTAGTCCAGGTATCAGATAAAAGTATCCGATGCGGGTATCAGATAAAAGTATCCGATGCGGGTATCAGATAAAAATATCTGATACAAATATCAGATAAAAATTTGACCGCACCCTCAACTAACTCCTTCTCATTTAAAATTAACGCTTGTGTGAAATGTAACATTAATATGAAATAAAACATTTAAAATTATAAATTTTATATTTTGATTTTTACAAGATTGAAAATCCAATTATATGGTTACATTCATATTGTAAATAATCTAAAGAAAGCAAAGAAAATTAATTAAAATTAAAGAAAAGAAACCTAAAAGTAACGTTAGTAAAGAAAACTAATTACACTGATAAACGTTGGTGTCTAAAAATGCGATTTTTTTTCTCATAAAATTGTAGAAATAATAATAATAATTATTAATATATTTTTAATAATATAAGCAAATTTTTAAAGGATTCGTTTCAATATGTTTTGGCTTCTTCTTTGCAACATCATTTATATCTTTTGAAACAGAATAATTAAGAAGAAATCAATATAAGTCAATTAATGATTACTTCTAATAATTGCAGAATTTTATATATATAGTTTAGAATATTATATTTTCTTCTAGAATCGAATGAACATAAAGGCTTACAGAATGATAGTTGAGCTCAACACCACCCTACATCCTAAGCATTTTTTACCACCCAAAGCTGGGTTACTTCTGCGATAAAAAAACAGTTAACCACTTCCGCATTTCTTCTAAATCGTGGCTGAAACTGTCTGTATCACAGAAGCGTAATGGCATTGACCCACCATTAAAGCTTGTTAATTCTCTTGAAACTAGATGGAATTCAACCCTCAATATGTTGTCAAGATTCCTGGAGTTGGAGGTACCAATTAAAACCACCATAGCATTAATAGATACAGAATTGCCCTCTCTAAATTTATTAGAGAAAATTACAAGTTACAAGAAAATTAATTTCGTTATTAAAACCTTACAAACAATTAACCGAAAATTTAAGTTTCCAAAAATATCCTCCATCTTCCAGCTTAATTGTGATGATTCCAGGACTTTTAGACCTACTGGATAAGTATAAAATACAAGAGGAATTCGCAGACTTAAAAGTTACTATAGACATTTTGAATAAAAGAAATTAAAAAAAAAAGAAAGATTTGGGAACTTAGAGGGAAGTGGAATACTGGCTGTATACACTTTTTTGGATCCGAGGTATAAGATGATGGGATTCAAAAATAAAGATGGTGATGCAGCCCGTATTGCAAAGGACTTCTTATTCAAAAAATTGTTGATTCCTCAAGGATCAAAAATCAGCCGGAACAGAAGAAATCTAGTGAAGAACAACAAATGCTGGTGTCCCTTGATGAGGATTCTGTCTTCAATTCATTTTTATCAGAGACCAAATCTCTAAGTACATCTATTGGTAAGTGATTTTTATGATTTTTCATAGATGAAATGAAAATTGACATAGTTTTTTATTTTGTTTAGCATAGCCTTAAGATCTTTTTTTTAATTAAAATAAACATACCTTCATCATCATTTGTACACAAAAAAAAGTGCAAACATACATTTATTAAAATATTTAATTAAATTTATATAATAAAGACAACATAACTATTATTTTTTATTTATCCTTTTATTAAGTTATTTATTTAAATTAGGATATTAAAATTGTTTTATTAATTATTTAGTCATCGATTTTAAAATCTCGAAAATAAAATTTATTTCCTAATGTGCATGTTGTACCGCACATGCTGTCTTATTGTTATATTTAGGATTATCATTATTCTTACTATTATTGGAATGTTAGTATATTTAGTTTCTATGTACTTTTGCCATAATATATATAGGGAGTTTAAACAGCTAATTTAATATAACATAAATTTAATAGACACCTTCAATAGGGAATTATGAAATTAAAAAAAATTAGTTATAATGTATTAGATTACTTGTTATTATTGTGTATTACATTTTTGAAAATGACTCATTTGAAAAGTCAAATCTTTATACAATGTGAACCTTGTATTTAATAAACTAAAATATGTCAAAAAATTAGTTATTTCTTGAAATTAACAATGGTCTAATTTTTATGAGAAGGAGTTAGTCGAGGGTGCGATCAAATAAATAATAAATTAAAATATATTAATTATTTTAATGAAGAGAAGAATAGTTGGGGTGTTCAGTCAAAAAGGAAGGCAAAAATAAATTTTTAATAAATATAAATATAAAAATAAATAAAATAAATAAATAAATAAATAAAATAAAATATAAATATAAAAATAAATATTTATTTTTCACATATGCCGACGTTTCGACCTGAAGTTCAGGCCTTCATTCTGATGGTAAAAAAGATAATAAAAAATAAAAAAATAAAATAAAAAAAATTATTAGAAAAATAAAATAGATAAATATAAAGTAAAATGAAATTGTTAGAATAATGACTAAGAACTAAGAGATAAATAATAAAAACTGTTGCATAGTGTGGAATGATGAAGTAGGCATAATCAAAAAGGGGTGACAAAAGTGTTACAATGGGAATCTTAGAATAAAATGTAAAACATAAAAAAGAAATATAAAGTTATATAAGAAATGAAAATAAATAGTAAAATTAAAACATTGAGAATGGAGTAGTTAGATAGAAAATTGAGATATTGTAAAGTCTATCAAGATGTACAGACAATGTATAATATAATAAAGAGTTAAAAAAAGAGAAAAGGAATGAAAGGAAGGAGGGAAGAAATTGAGAAAGCTGAAATAAGAAAGAAATAAAAGAAGTACTACCTGTCTCCTTAAGTGTCGAAGGGAGAATAAAAGTCGTTACAAGGGAGGGGGAGAGAGAAGAGATGTGTAGGTGGCGTCATCTCTAACGGTTATCCGACGAAGTTTGAACTAAAGCGCTGGAAGCCTAAATAGGTACGAGAGATATATTATTCAGAAAAATTATGGAAAATTGAACGAAAGTTAATAGAAAGTGAAAGAAAAATAACTATTGAGTAATAAGGGAGAAAAATTATCTTTTTTACCATGATTACTTATGTTTCTCATACCTTGTTATCTGGTTATATCTCTCTCACACACACACACACAAACAAAAAAATATTTTTGAAATGTTTTATTATATCATTTTACTAAATTTTTTCAACATTTATAAATCTTATTTCTGAAATTACTATTTCGTCAAATAATTTTATGCTGAAGTAATAACTTTGGAATGAAGTTCATCTAAATTAATTTTAAGTCTTTCAAGAGTTTTCGTTGAGCTAAACTCGAGTTAGTTATATTGAGCCAGTTCAGAGCCATATCGGAGGCAAAGTATTTTTCAAATTACAATATTTTTTTCATATTTAAAAATAATATATATTTTTACAAATCCTTTAAAAAAAATATGTTTCGAAACAAAATTAGTAGAAACGTAGATGCTACTTATGGTAATGTACTATTTTATGTTAAAATTAAAATTAAAAAGTTTCATGCACTCCTGTTTTTAGGATAATTAAGATTACCAAAATTTTGTATTTATGGTTTTAAACATTTTAGAAATAGAATTGTTTAATATTTTCGTGAATTATTTTATTTTTAAAATAAAAAATAGTAAAAGAGATAATTAAAATAAGATAATTATTTAAATAGCGGGAGTTGCCATTTCTTCAATAATTTTCCTTATCGAACCCGCTGGAACGGCTTCTGCTAACTGTTCTTCCGTTCCTTATCGATCCAGCTGGAACGGAATTGGAACTGGTCTGGAACGATTCGCCAACTGTTCCTCCCCACTCCTTATCGATCCAGCTGGAACGGAATTGGAACTGGTCTGGAACGATTCGCCAACTGTTCCTCCCCACTCCTTATCGATCCAGCTGGAACGGAATTGGAACTGGTCTGGAACGATTCGCCAAATGTTCCTCCCCACTCTTTATCGATCCAGCTGGAACGGAATTGGAACTGGTCTGGAACGATTCGCCAACTGTTCCTCCCCACTCCTTATCGATCCAGCTGGAACGGAATTGGAACTGGTCTGGAACGATTCGCCAACTGTTCCTCCCCACTCCTTATCGATCCAGCTGGAACGGAATTGGAACTGGTCTGGAACGATTCGCCAACTGTTCCTCCCCACTCCTTATCGATCCAGCTGGAACGGAATTGGAACTGGTCTGGAACGATTCGCCAACTGTTCCTCCCCACTCCTTATCGATCCAGCTGGAACGGAATTGGAGCTGGTCTGGAACGATTCGCCAAATGTTCCTCCGTTCCTTATCGAACCGGCATCCCCACTCCTTACCAAAGCAGCGGTATCGATAATTTTCAGTCGTTGGAACAGTTCCGTTCCGTTCCACAGAGGATTAGGTTCCAGTTCCATTGACCCATCCCTACCTTCATCACATTATTGATGTGGGTTGACAGAGATTTTCTGTCACAGCTCCGACAGTGACAGCGCTGGAAAAATCACTGTGACAAATCACAGTGATTTGTCACTACAGTGATTTTTTTTCGGTGTCAAATATGCAATGGCTGCAATGTCAAATATATATCACTGTGAAATTACCTTCGGTAGTGAGGAAGCAAAATAAAATAAGGTACATCAATATAAAATAGACAGAAAAAGTTTATACCTCCTTCCATACTTCCCTCGATCAAACCCTCTCCTGGAAACCACACATCTCCTAAATCTCCCGCCGTACTATTTCCATCCTGAAACAGGTTAAACATCTACGTTATCTCCTTCCATACAAGTCTCGTCAACTCCTGTTTTCATATCTTGTTTTCCCCACTTCGACTACGGCTGTATGGTAGACACTTGGGAGAACTCGAAGCTAAACTTAAACGTCTCATGAATTGCTCAATACCCTTCATCTTAGTGATCTCAAGGGATACGCATATCGCCCAGTTTTATAACGGCTCTATCCGTCCTACCGCTGTCATGTCAGTATTTCCTAGCTACCTTCCTGTATCAAGCTATTAGAACTCCGCGACCCTCCTATATTCTACAGATCCTACAATTCAAATGTTCTTTTCAATCCCATCTCAGCTGATCTTGTACATCCCACCTCTATCCTCCTCCTCACAGAACTGCTGCGTTTGGCAAATCCTTCTTAATTCTAGTTGTCTCCCCATGGAATTCTATCCCTTCTGATATTCAACACGCAAAGTCAGCATTATCTTTCAAATCTCTCCTCTTCAAACACGTACTCCATTCCCAATCCGATCACCAAATGCACTTAAAAACCTATGCTGTAAGAATCTCGAAGCACACCCAGATACTTTGATTATTTTGTGATTCATTGATATTTTGTTTGATTAATTTACTTTCTCTGTTTATTTTATATTTATACACGTTTTTATATATTTTTATTATCTATAATTTTATTTCATTCCTAATCATCCTGTAAATATACAATTGTATTTTATGGGCACACCTGAATGTTAATATATATTCTATTGAATATTTAATAGTTAACCGTTGCATTATAAAGGAAGGAGATGGTCCGGGGTGGCGGTCATAAATAGGCTAAATAGTGGTAAAACTATTTTCATTAAAAGACGACGTTTCGACCCGACTTTGCAGGTATTCTTCAGGGAGGTTCATTATGGCAATGAATGCTCAATTCATCTGAAGTTCAAAAAGTATTTTTAATAAAATTTGACGAATAACTATTATTTTAGAAATAATTATTTCATGATTATTTCTTTAATTCATTTATTAAATTAATGAAGGCAACAATGCCCAGATTGCTAGAACGAAAAAGAAGTGATAGAGCGGAGTGGTGAGAGGTATGATTTCACAGCGCCTGCAGTGACCGTCACTGTTGGAGCAGAGTGATCGTCACTGTGATTTCGGTTCGCCTGTCACTGTTATCACCAGCTCCGGCCCAGTCACAGTGACAGAATCACAGCTCCGGCCATATGGCCCCATCACTACATCACATAACCTCCATTCATGTCATGTGCAAGCTACTGTTATTCTTCTGTTACGTGTGAGTTATTCCATTGTTTATTTTTAGTTAATTTTGTCATCTGTTGAAATGGATATTATTACATTATGGGAATTGCCGTCTTCAGAAGAAGAAGCTGTCAGATATTTTCAAAAGGTCGGGCTAATTCCAAAGGTGAAATTCTGTGAAGAAGGTCATGAAATGAAGTTTGACAGGAAGACCAAATGGAGATGCTTTCGTAGCACTTGTAACAAAAACATGTCTATAAGAAAAGGAACATGGTTAGAGGGGTCAAAGATTACCTTCTCAACGGCTTTAAAATTTATTTATGGGTGGTCTCATAATTTAACAACAATACAGTGGGGCATAGAGCAGCTGAAACTATCCAACAAAAGTGTGATAATGTGGAACAAATTTTTAAGAGAGGTTTGTGCCCATAACATGTTATACAGGTCAACTAAAAAAATTGGAGGACCTGGCAAAGTCGTTGAAGTAGACCATAGTCTTTTTTCAAAAAGAAAAAACCATGTAGGAAAAATTCTCCCTGAACAATGGATGTTTGGCGGAGTTTGCCGAGAAACAGACGAGTGTTTCATCGTAAAAGTAAAGGACAGAACGGCAAGAACTTTATTAGAATGTATTAAAAATAATATAGAAGAGGGAAGCACCATTTATTCAGACTGTTGGAAAGGATACAATACCCAACAACTGAATGAAGCAAATTATAATCATTTCCAAATGAATTACCAGTATAAATTTGTTGATCCTTCAAGTGGGGTCCATTCTCAACTCATGAAACGATTATGGGGTTCAGCTAAGTGGAGAAATAAGAAACATAGAAGAACTGCAGGGCAACATCTGGATTCATATTTATGTGAATTTTTGTGGCGGCAGGCTCACAGAAAAGAGGACCCATTCCTCGCCATTTTAAATAGTATTAAGCTATTTAATAATAGTTTAATGACAGCCGATAAGTGTGATGTTTGTATAAAAGAAGAGATGGAAGAAGAAAATGAGCCTGATTGTAAGTTTTTTTTTTTTTATTATTAAAACTACTGATGTTCAAATAATTGTTGATTTTTGTAAACACCGCAAAATTAAAGATAATACAGTTGCAAGGTGGAACATTACTCCAGTTCAAAGGAATAACATAATTTTAACTGCACTTTTTAAATATATTTTTCTTTTATTATCCTTCTTGGTTGTTTCCTGAATTATTTATTTACACATTGCTTTTGTTTTCTTTTTCAGGTATGGCTAGCTGTGGTGTTTCCATAAAAGAAGAAATGGAAGAAAAATCTGATTATCTTTGTAAGTTATCCTTTCAATAATTTGTGAATGTTTGATGCTCAAAAGTTAAGTTTAGTTAAAATATACTGGAAATATATACTCAAAAGTTAAGTTAAAATATACTGGAATGTAAAAGTATAATAACTTTTAATATATTCATCCATCCATTTTGACAAGTAGACAAGGATCATTCTATAAATGAGATTCCAAGATTAGCCGAGAATTGACTACCTGTTGCAGTATAACCTCCTTTTATTTAGATCTGAATTCGGGGAACTCTACCGGTCCTTTTCAATCCAAACCAGGTCATATTTTTGTTTTAATTACATTTACTGAAAAGAGATAATTGAATTCCCAATAAATGGAATTACCTAGTTACCTAACGGTTAGGTAAATATCTTCTTTCTATTTAAGGGTGTGATTATGGGACTTTGTGTCACTCATAAAAGTAGACAGTAGTACCTTTGTGATTTTCAGTGTTTGTCCTCACAATTTTTAGCTAAAATAAGCTGGAGTGTGAAGAAGTTTAATAAATTTTAATGCATTATAATGAGTTCTTTATTTAAAATTTTAGCAATATTTGTCAGTACACATTGCAAATTTAAACTATCAAAAATTAAGGTACTAGTTCCCTTTCGCTACTCCGTAATGGTGGCATTCATTGTTTCAATATCACTCGGAGCCTGCTCCTCCTAGATTCCTGAAGATCACCTAATGTGCCTGAAAGAAGACAGAGCCTACTGATACCAAATTCTTAATTATAAATTACACACAATTTAAAGAAGGGAATTTCTACTAATTTGGTATGGTTGATAATCATTTTTAATGTAGACATAAATATAATTTGTAGAATTTTGAATTCTGATCACTTTCTTTGATTATATTAACCAGGGATAATAATAATTACAATATTATGATTTTTTGCCACAATCATAATTTTTTCTGTGCCATATTATTTCATTATACGAGTACATATTACTTTTACTTACCTGTATATAAAATATATAGTTATCTTCTTATTTTTCTTTTTTTAGGAAGCCTACGTTTATATATTTTTTTCATAATTAAGGCAAAAAAACTTCCAATTTCCTTCAAATCCCTTTATTCACATTTATCACCTTTAACTTTTTGGGACAATTTTCCCATCATCAGACCAATCCTTATATTCACTGAAACTATGCACATTTTTAAATATACTATTTTTACAGTACTAATCTACTTCACCTATTGTACAATTATTTACCTTGCTTTTTTGATGTGGCACCATTTGTCAAAAATGTTTAATATTTAATATGAAAAAAAAATATATATAATAAGGCTAAGTATTGCGATCTTGAAAATTTTTGAATCTGAGTTTTCAACGGAAATACGTCTTGAGGTCTCCTAAGTCCAAATAACCAAGTCCCGCAAAATGATGTGTGTGTGTATGTATGTGAATAGTCTAGCTCAAAAATGAAAAGTTGTACGAAACTGATATTACGTATTTAAGATAGGTATATGCCTTAGAGGTTACAGAGTCCTTTTACTTAAAATCGGCTAACCCCGGAAGTCCCACTTTATATCAACACTGAAACACATTTTTACAATTTTCTAAAAAACGGCTCTTAACGATTTTGATTAAACTTGCTGAAGCATTGTATAATTGGTGTGTAATTGTATAAGTGGTCTTTAATATCATTTAGGTCTTATCCCCATTGATGTCACTTTACAGGGCTTAATTAAGTGCCCAATGTTCGTATACGTCTTACTCTAAAGTACCTTTAATGTGGTTTATTTAGAAAAATTAACTGTGTTTTATTTACAGTAACTATAAAAAATGGCTAAATGTAAAGTTTGACAGAATATGATAATTGAAAACTGGAGAAAAAAAGAAAAATGCTCATCTATCCAGGTTGAAAATGAATCTGTGAGAACAACAGTCAGAAAGTATACATATAATATATCATTGGAAAGCTGAGAATTTTAGAAAAAATAATATGAAATAAATAAAGTTGTAGAAGTTAACGCAGAGTGACGAAAAAAAATATAAATAATAATTTCAGAAAACTAACATTATTTAACGTAAATCACATTTTTCCAATGAAATTTTCTTACTAAATGTAAACTTTTAAATTTTTTTCTAAGGTTGAAAAAAAAGTATTTAAAATCCACTGAATCATGCTAATGCCATTGTTTATACTACTATTTAACTAGCTGACCCGTGCGAATAATTCACAGTAAATTTTGTTTAGTGAAGAAATAGCAAAACAACATGGAAATAAGTAGTTCCTATATATTATGTAAGGAAGGAATTAATATTTTTTCCTTGGTCAATTACAATATTGCATTAAAAATATATATATATTATTATATTAAATGGCACTACATCCCAATTATTTCAGACTTGGCCTGCTCCAGCATGGATCTCCAGTTCTCCCGGTTAGTTGCGCAGCCTTCCAATTTCTGACACCAAGTAGTCTACATGCATCAGCAGTCATACAGTCTTGCCAGCGCAAACATAGTCTTCCCACTCGTCTGTTTCCAAACACAGGCTCATTCATAACTCTCTGTGGGGGTGCATTCATATCCATCCGCGCGACATGTCCCGCCCAGCGTAGTCTTGCCAGTACGATGAATTGGCTCACATCCAGGTCATTAAACAATGTCTTTATTTCCAAATTCGTTCCCCTCCTCCAATTCTGTGGTGTTTCCTGGACCCCTCCAAATATGCGTCGTATAATCCTCCTTTCAAATCTGAGCAGGGATTTCTCAACTGCTTTAGTTAAGGTCCAACTCTCACAGCCATATGTGAGCACTGGTCTAATAAGAGTTTTATATATTCTTATTTTGGCCTGTCTTGACAACATTCTACTGCGAAGATGTCTCTGGAGGGAGAAATAGCACCGATTAGCCTCTGCAATCCTCCTGTCTATCTCACAATCAATGTTATTTCGTGCATTTATCAATGAACCAAGATATACAAATTCGTCAACATTCTCGATTCCACGCTGTACCAGCCATGCTTGGTTTTCCCTTGTTAGACGTGAGGATAGGGTGGACATATATTTTGTTTTGGACACGTTGATAATAAGACCGATTTTGACTGCCGACTCTTCCAGACTTGTAAAAGCTTCCTGTACTGCTGCAAACGATCTTCCCATTATATCAATGTCGTCCGCATATCCAAGTATTTGGGTCATTCGATTTAGGACGGTTCCTGTAGTCTGGATACCAGAATCCCTTATGACTTTTTCAAGGGTAAAGTTGAATACCAGACATGCCAGAGTATCTCTCTGCCTTACACCTGTCGATGTTCTAAACCCCTTTGACAAGTCACCTTGTACTCGTACGAAACACTCATTACCCTCCATTGTCATTCTAACAAGCCTTACAAGTTTTTTAGGTACATTCATTTCTACCATTGCTTTGTATGCTTCCTCACGATTTATGGAATCATATGCTTGTTTGAAATCAATGAAGATGTGATGTGTACCAATTTGATATTCTTTGGTTTTCTCCAGAAGGATTCTCAAGGTGAATATTTGATTGATGGTTGATTTACCCATAATGAATCCTGGCCTGGTATTTTCCGATTTCAGCCTCGGCATAAGAAATGATTCTTCTATAAAGAATCCTTGAAAAAATTTTATAGGTGGTGGGTAGAAGGCATATGCCTCTGTAATTATTACATTGATAGACGTCCCCTTTTTTGCACACTGGGCATATAATGGATTTTTTCCAATCACTTGGAAGCTCTTCATCAACCCAGACGGCATGAAACATTTCCTAGAGGAGTTTTATGAGCTCTTGACTACCATGTTTATAGAACTCTGCAGGGATGTTAACAATGCCTGGGGCTCTATTGCTTTTTAGTCCTTCTATGGCTTCATTGATTTCTTCCTCGTCTAGGGGTTCTACGTCTTCACTACCTGTAATTGGATCATTTGCCTCTGCGACATTTGTGCCATTTCTGTTAAGAAGAGTTGAAAAGTATTCAGCCCATCTGTCCGAAATGCCTTGTTTGTCAGTTACTATGGAGCCATCGTTTACTCTGCATCCTGTGGTACGGATGATAAAGGGCTTTCTTCCTTTATTAATAACCTGGAAGAATTCTCTAGTATTTTTGGAGATGAAGGCCTCTTCTATCTCCTGTAGACTCTTATTCTCCCATCGTCTTTTCTTCCTCTTATGGACATGCCTGTCGCGCCTTCTCGTTGCTCTGTATTCCTCGACAGAGCTTCGTGTGTGCTTCCTTTGCATCATTTTATGGTATACAATGTTTTTTCTCTTGGTCACTGCACCACATTCGTCATCGAACCATGGGTTATATATCTGCTTGGTCTTATCTCCTACAACCTCATTCGCTACTTTCATAAGTGTAGTGCGGCATGAGTTCCATTGTGACTCGAGATTTGATTCTGGGACAGAGTTCCTTAATCTGATGTCCAGTTGGTATGAGAATCTAATGCTTGTATCACTGTCCTTAAACTTTGCAATATTGTACCTCTTCAGAGAACGTCGAGGCTGGTACTTCACTGTTGATATCCGATACCTTATTTTTGCAATTATAAGGTAGTGATCCGAGTCAATGTTAGCCCCTCGTTTTGTGCGAACATCAAGTAATGAGGATTTATATCTGGCGCTGACGAGTACATGGTCGATCTGAGAGCTTGTAGTGGATCCGTTCCGTCCGAATTTCCTCCATGTTTCTAGATGCACTAACTTGTGTGGGAAATAGGTACTTCCCACAACCAAACCCTTAGAGGCTGCGAAGTTGCGAAGCATTAAAAATAATAGTCCAAAATATTTGTACAAATTGCTTTGCTAGGACCTATTTTTAAACGCTGATTGGAAAGATAATAAAAGTAATAAAGACAAGATAATGCCCCAATCATGGGATTCTAAATTATTGAAAAAAATAAAATGTAAGAACAACCAAATTTCTTTAAGAAATACTTAAGTTAATTCATCAGCCAGGAAAAAAAAAGTGTTGTAGACTATTCTACTCCTAAATGCAATATCTTTAAACAGGAAGACCATTATTAAGTATACCAAAACTAAT